CAGCAACCGCACATTGATGTCTCTCTCTCTCTCTCTCTCTCTCTCTCTCTCTCTCTCCCCCCCTTCCCTCTCTAAAAATAAAGAAATAAAATCTTTAAAAAAAAAAAGTTCAATTAGGCAAAAAATCTTTGTCTAAATTTAACTGGATTGCTTATGTTATTATTATTGAATTTTAAGGTCTTTTTTGTATACCTGTATCTTGTTCTTAGTTGGATATACTAACTACAAGTATTTTCTCTTAGTTTGTGATCAGTATTTAATTTTTTTAATGGTGTTTGCCATTGAGTAGAAGTTTTAAATTTTGATAATATCCAATATATCATTCTTTGTCTTTTATGCTTTGTACAGTTTTGTTCTACCTATGGAATTTTCACTAGCCTTAGGTTTCATATCCTCCTACGATTTCCTCCAGAAGTTTTATAATTTTTGAGTTTTTATTTACTTCTATGGTCAATGTATAATTAATTGTTGTATATCACATGAGACAAGGATCAAGATTCATATTTTCTTATTAGAATTATCTAGTTGTTGCAACACCATTTGTGGGGCACATTGGATTTCTTTCATGTATTATTGAAAATTAATTGAGACTATATCATGTGGGTCAATATTTGGACAGTATTTTGTCATTGATTTGTTTATCCTTGTACTAAATACCACATTGTCTTGATTACTTTACAGTTAGCCTTATAATGAGTCTTGAAACCAGAGAGTATAAATGTTGGGAACCGCCCCGACTGGTATCAGAAGCTGAAACCCCCGCCTAGGCTAAGGCTAAGGGAATGCCCTTGGAACTGTAAGCCAGCAAGGAGACAAAAGCTTATCTTCCTGGCAGGAATGCTGCTTCTGCTGCTTTATTCATGACTGAACCCCAAAAAGCTTGGTCGGCTAGCCAAAGACGGGTAAGATTCCCCATGGGGGGGAACGACCTAAGACAGGCATGATCACTTTGGGAGGCCCCCCAAAAGAGGGACTTGGGGGGCTACAGCAAAAGGGGGTGATGGACCCTCGCTCCTTGGCTTTGACATAGCCTGAGTTCTCATCATCTGGGAAAAAACCTCCTTGTCTCCCAGTTGCCTTAGTTCCCTTGCTCCACCTAAGCCTGAAACAATGACAGGGTGGTGCAGCTCTGTACTGAGAAGTGCGGATTCCCCGGGGTGATCAGGCTTAAGAAAGAACATGTAAATTACTGTGAAACCTTCTTTGTTTAGAATGCTCTCAGTTGAATGAGAAGGGTCTTAGGAGGAAGTTAGTTTGTTCCTCAGCCTTACAGCTCTTTGACCCCCAACTCAATAGACCGGCAGAGTTCTTTGTTTTCTATGGTTCCTTACTTCCCCCTAATGAGTACTGTACTTTACCTGAATTATTATGCAAAATGAGCCCAATAAAAGCAGGTATGGATGGTAAATCAGTGCGCTCCCCACTAGGGGGGGTGGCCATTCTGTCCCTACTTCCCCACAGAAACTAGTTTGTCTCTGTGCATGTTTTTTCTCACGTGTTTATCATCGAGCCATCCACAGCGTTCTGTGGTCACTGCTGGCCGGTGACCCACACGCAACATATAAATTCTTTAATATTGTACTTTTAAAAATTCTTTTCATTATTTTGGGTTCTTTGCATTTTGGTATGAATTTAATAACCCTTTTGTTAATTTTTAATAAAATTCAATGAGAGTTCTGACTGGAATTGCATTAAGTCTGTAGATCAATGCTGACCAATGAGATTCAATGTGTCTTAGTTTATTCAGGCTGCTATAACAAAATACCACAGACTGAATGCCTCGTAAACAGCAGAAATCTGTTTCTGTTCTGGAGGCCTAAAGTCCAAGAGTAGTGTGCCTACAGGTTCTGTGTTTGGTGAGGGCCTGCCTCGGTTTATAAATAGCAGTATTCTATCTATAATTTCACAAGGCAGAAAGAGCAAGGGAGCTTTCTCAGGCCACTTTTATATGGGCATAATGCTGTGATCTAATTAATCTCATGATCTACTCAGCTACCAAAGGCCCTAGCTCCTAATACCATCATCTTAGGGGATAGGTTTCAAAATATAAATTTGGAAGAAACACAAGAATTCAGACCATAGTACAATCCAAGCCAAAAATATGAGGCACATACATTAATTTTTTCTGGTAACCTTACTAAAAAAATAAAAAAAAACCCCGTGGAACTAATTTAACTCATAAACATTATTTCAACATAATCAGTATAAGTCTTGATGTGATTTTTTTTGGGGGGGGGGGTGCTAAGTCATTGAAATCTGGTGTTTTTGCACTTATAGCCCATATCAATTCAGACTAGCCACATATCAAGTGTTCAAAATCCTCATGTGGCTAATGGCTACCAAACTAGGCAGTGAAACTATAAACCAATTTGGAGAGAATTAAGAGCACTTAGCTGTTAATAATTGTCATAACATATTTAATATATTAAGTCTTGATTTTTAAGTTCAAAACATTTTATTTCTGATCATTTCTATTTATATTCATTTCTTATTTAGCCCATGAGTTATATAGAAGAGTGTTAACTCCCAAATATTTGGGGAATTTTCAAATATTTTTCTGTTCTTGATTTCTATTTTAACTCCATTGTAGGCACAGAACATAGTCTGTCAGACTTCATCCTCCTTAAATTGGTCCAAGTATGTCCTACCTCAATGACTACTCCATGAGTACTTAACAAGAATGTGTGTGGTCAGAGGCTTCCAGGCTTTCTCAAAAATATTAAGACTTCTCAGTATTTCAGGGTCCAAAACTCCTAGTCATTCAAAATGCTTATAGTTGCAAGAGACAAAAATTAACTAACAAATACAAGGACTTTCTCATCTCTAATCCACAGCAAATGAAAGGGTGAATTTGGACTCAGAGATGATAGAATTCACAGACTTAACACTGTCAGGTTACTTCCTCTCACTGACTCCTGTCTCTCATTCTTCTGAATGTCAGACATTTTCCCCCCCTATTCCAGATGCATTTGCTTGATGGTTGGGAACATGGCTCTAGAGCACCTCTTACTAAGATTCTTCCATCTACACAACTCTAAAGGCAATAGGAAAACCCTGACAATCTCTAGATTCTCCTAAGAAGTCCTCTGGTCCAACTTTAATCACCCATTTGGTGTTGGAATAATTACTATAGCCTCAGGGATGAGGCAATAAGTTGGTCTCAGTATGACGGCCACCCAACTTTTAGCTAGGGAATTGTATACTAATGGTATCCCCACTAGAAACATAGGGATGGATTGGTGAGGGAGAAATTCCACAAAAGAAGGAGATATTGCTATTAGAATAATGTAATGGGGCAGGTTGCTGGTTTAACAAAACAACTTCTGTACACTATGCCATGCTAGCACTTCTAGACACTAGGATTTTATTCAGTTTCCTTTAAAAAGAAACAAGGGAAGTTTAGAAGCAAAGGGGTAGGTAATTGAATGGTTATCCACTTTCCCTTTAAACTTAGGCTTCATCAGCTATGCAGGATGTGGAATTAGAAGCACTTTCAAGTCTATAGCCAAACTCCATTATTCCCATAAAGGTAGAAGATCTGATTTAGTCTCAATAAACAAATACTCAAGACAGAGACTACTTAAATAATAGCAATTATATTTCAGATAAATGGCATAAACCTTTATGTACTTGTGACCTACCCTTTTTTAGAAATAATTCTCAATCTGATGTAAAAAAATTGCATTTTAAAAATGTCATTAGACCTGCTTTCACTGGTGTGCCTCAGGTGGCTGGGTGTCATCCTGTGAAGCAAAAGGCTGCCAGTTCGATTACTGGTTAGGGCACATGCCTGGTTTGCAGGTTTGGCCCCCAGTCCCTGGTTGGGGTACATTCCAGAGGCAACAGATGGATGTTTTTCTTGCACATTGATGTTTCTCTCCCTCTCTTTCTCTCTCCCTCCCTCTCTTTCTAAAAATAAATAAATAAAATCTTAAAATCTTTTTTAAAAATGTCACCAGACCTTATAATGCTACAACAGGGTTTAGTTCCTCATAAAACCTCATGTCAACCAAAGCATGCCATGCTGCAGGTCAAGGAATATCTGACTTTGAAGACTGAACTCTCAATTTAAAACTGCACTTTAATTCACATCAGGTTATACCATAATACAAGAAAAGAAAGAGGCTGCATGTTGTCAAACTTAATGGCAAAAGTTACATAGAATTGGCTAATTAAATAATAAGTGGACTCTGACTTATATGGAGGGGAATGTCGGAATTCATCAGTGTGAGAGCTATTTGACAGGGGTGATAAATCCTGTTCTCTAGGGTTGATATTTCTCAATGCCCTAGGTTATCCTAGGGCATTTCAGATGCACTGAGAGGGCTGGATTAGCAGCAGCCTGATTTAGTGATACCTTTTGGGGAGGCATTCTAATTAGCACATATCTGGGATCTTTAAAGAGCTAAAACCAATGATGCCAATTGAAAAAAGATGGAGAAAATAATATGTGGTTATATACATAAAGACAATTCTTATAAAAAGGGATGCTAATAGAGGCAAGAGTCAGGTAAGAAAACAAAATTTCTATTGAAAGAGTGTCCAAGAGTGAGGAAAATGGAGACAAACTATATTCAGAGCTTACAATTCACTGTCAAAACCTCAATGAAGTAAATTTCAACTAGTCAATGTCAACATTTTATGGTAAATCATTGATTTGGATCTTAAGTGGTACCAGGAAGTGAATATAGAGTTATTTTATATTGATGAAGTTTTTTAATCACTCTTCTAGCACCCATTTTTCTCCCTCTATGATACTTTCCTTCTGTCATAACCTCCACTTTCCTATAAGCCCCACTACCTGAATCTGTTGTAGGAAGTGATATATCACACACTAGCCTGCAGGAAACATTATACGCTAATTTATTCGTAATACAAAATACAGAAATTTAAGATAAGAAGAAATACTGTGTTATTAGTGTTACCCTCCACCCATGTAGCCTTGGCCTCTATGAAGTCACAGGAACAATCTAGTAACAACTAACCGTTCTGATTCACAGAGTCCAGGGAAAGCTACTGACCTCTTGGTGCACAATGGAACCACAGTAAAGAGAATGTAATATATCAAGGTGAGCTCTCCAAAGTTTCACAAACTCCATGTACGCTTCTCTCCCACTGAAACAGTTTTCACTCTGCCACCCCTGTATAGACTTCTCATCATTGGCAAGGATGGAGGAGGAAGTCTGAAATTGAGAACTTCACTTCCAGTTTGGCGGTGTCTTCAGCAGGCCTGTCCTTTTGACAACTTGCTGATGGTGACCCTGATAGTTCCAGCCAATGCATACTTAAAGGCTGAAGGACTCTCGTGCCTGGGGTCCAGAGATACCCCATTTAGGTCACATGTATTTTCCCTAATATCCAGCACCAACAAATAAGCTGTGCACTAAGGACGTATCAGTACATCATAGAAGATGTATTGACTGATAAGGAAGATAGGTTGTTAATGAGAATGCAGCATGTTTAAAGACGAGTAGTAATTGTCATAAATGACATTATCTGTGGAGGAAAGGGCAAGGGACTGAGGGCATTATTTAGAGTGTAAGAATGGAGAGAAATTCAGGCCAGAGTAATAAGGGGAGGTGATCTATCCACTGTAAGATCTTTGCCTATAGCCTGGGCAACCAGGATTGCTCACCCCAAATCAACTTGTATAGCCCCATTTTTAAAGTCTTTTCAATAATTTCACCAAGAGCTAAGACTTAGACATTTTGCTTTATTATTCAATATTTGTTGATCTCTATTTTAGAGATCACTCAAGTATACATTAACTTACCTGAGGTTTGAGGAGCAATAGAGTAAAGCAGAAAGCAAGATGATTTTCTTACCAATTTTATCAACAACAATAGAAGCTGTAATGGCAGCAGCACACACAAATGTTCCGTATTAGTCATTGAGGCTGAAGGGAGGTAAGTAGCTCAGCCCCTTAAAGGGCTAATTCCTAAATATCCTTCATATATGGAAATGTTTGAGTAGATGCAAAACAAAAAATTACCATCTACTTATTAATGGTACTTTTAAGTTTTTATATGTTACTGAGGTTTTAAATACTTTTTATTACTTAAAGTGATATTCCCAAGTGTGCCTTAAAAAATAAGGCAGTGTGGTGATTGCAGGGCATAGGAGGGTGGAGGGGGAAGAGGGAATAGGGGGATAAATAGTGATGGAAAAATACAATAAAATAACACAAGCTTCCTTGTATAGAATCTCAACCTAGCTTATTAATGGCCTCTTAAATTTCTTAAAATTAGAGTACAATATCTAAAAAACAACAACTAAGAAGCATTTCACCTTTTAAAGTCCACATCTACTATGAAGTTAAGTCACTAGAGTACTAATTTCTTATCAATTGCTGAACAGAAGACATAGTTTCTTAAAAATAAGCAAAATTTAAGGAGCAATTTGGATATCTCTAAGAAACAGATTTATTCTGGGATGCAATGTTAGTATAGTTATTACTAAACCAATGTAGAAGCCTGATTTAAAGATATACAAAGCACCAATATGTTTAAAAATTTTGTAAGATATACATAGTATGGTAAGTAGCCATCAAAATAAGACATACAATGTGATCTTAGTTTTGGTGGGTTGTATGTATACTTTTATTAAGTTTGCATATGTATATATATTTACATATGCTATATATGTATGTATGTGTATATGTATTTGTATATGTATATTAATGTAGTTGTGGTAGACTTACAAATAAACATTATAAATTCTTTTTAAAATACATTATTTATTTATTTAGAGGGGGGAAAGGAGGGAGAAAGACAGGGAGAGAAATATTGATGTGTGACACGAACATCAACCTGTCACACCCCCAACTGGGGAACTGGCCCCCCACCCAGGCTTGTGTCCTGACTGGGAATTGAACAGGCAACCTCTTGGTCCACAGAGTGGCACTCAATTTTCTGAGCCACACCAGCCAGGGCTATACATTCTTTTTTCAATGTTTTTTTAAAGATTTTATTTTATATTTATTTCTAGAGAGAGGGGAAGAGAGGAAGGGAAACATAGGTGTGCAAGAGAAACACTGGTCGGTTTCCTCTTACACTCCCCCAGCTGGGGACCTGGAACACAACCCAGGCATGTAACCTGACCAGGAATCAAACCAGTGGCCTTTCATTCTGTAGGCTGGCACTCAATCCATTGAGGCAACCAGCCAGGACAAATAAATTCTTTATAATTCACACCCCCAATTCCCATAATAAACACATACTATATTTATGTTAAAAGTTATTAAAATAACGAACAGACCACCAAGATGGAGGCATAGGTGGACGCACCATACCTCCACACACAACCAAGATTGGAACAACAATTTAGAGGCAGAATAACATCCAGAACTGAAAGAAAATTTATCTGAATGGAAGTTGGACAGCCAAGAAGTTGAAATAGACCCGTTCATCCAGACCAGGAGGGGCAGAGATGAGCAGACTGGAGTGGGTCGCTGTGTGAAGAGCAGAGAGAGATGGGCGCATAAGGCATCCGGGGGTGCATGAGGCATCTGGGGCACGCAAGATTACAGCGGGTGGACCCTGAGTTAACAAGCGGCAGCTGGCAGACCCAGTGAGGCAATGATTGTGGAGCAGGGCAGAGCGTGCAGCCAAGGAGCCCAGAGAGGGAACTGGGGTCCCACGGAGAATGGAGCAACCGCCATTGTTCCCTCTCACCCCCGCCCCCACATACAACGTCACAATCCAGCGACTGGGGTGCCCAGCCCTGGTGAACACCTAAGGCTCCATCCCTCGTCGTAACAGGAGCAACCAGACCAAAAAAAAAAAAAAAAAAGAGAGAGAGACAGAGAGAGAGAGACAGAGAGAGATGGCTCAAACAGAAGAACAAATCAGTGCCCCAGAGCTCATCTTTTTAAGCGACCAAGAGATAGCTAACCTATCAGATGCACAGTTCAAAACACTGGTGATCAGGAAGCTCACAGAATTGGTTGATTTTGTTCACAAATTAGATGAACAAATGCAGGTTATGATTAAAGAAATGAAGGAAAATGCACAGGGAACCAACAGTGATGGGAAGGAAACTGGGACTCAAAACAATAGAGTGGACCAGAAGAAAGAAAGAAACAACCAAACAGGAAGGAATGGAGAAATAAGAATTCAAAAAAACAAGCGGAAGCTTAGGAACCTCCAGGACATCTTTAAATGTTCCAACATCTGAATTATAGGGGTACCAGAAGGGGAAGAGGAAGTGCAATAGATTGAAAATGTATATGAACAAATAATAAAGGAGAACTTCCCCATTCTGGCAAAGGAAGTAGACTTCTAGGAAGTCCAGGAAACTCAGAGAGTCCCAAAGAAGTTGGACTGAAAAAGAAACACACCAAGGCACATCATAATTACATTAGCCAAGGTAAAAATGAAGGAGAGAATCCTAGAAGCAGCAAGAGATAAGGGGACAGTAACCTAAAAAGGAGTTCCCATCAGGCTGTCAGCTGATTTCTCAAAAGAGACCTTACAGGCAAGAAGGGGCTGGAAAGAAGTATTCCAAGTCATGAAAGACAAGGACCTATATCCTAGATTGCTCTATCCAGCAAAGCTTTCATTTAGAATGGAAGGGCAGATAAAGTGCTTCTCAGATAAGATCAAGTTAGAGAAGTTCATCACCACCAAGCCCTTATTTTATGGAATGTTAAAGGGACTTATCTAAGAAAAGAAGATAAAAAATGTATAGTAAAATGACAGCAAACTCACAATTATTAACAACCACACCTAAAGCAAAACCAAAAGAAACTAAGCAAACAACCAGAACAGGAACAGAACCACAGAAAGGGAGATCACACGGAGGGTTAGCAACAGGGAAGTGGGAGGAGGAGAGAGGGAGAAAAGGTACAGAGAATAAGTAACATAGATTGTAGGTTGAAAATAGATAGGGTGAGGGTAAGAATAGTATGAGAAATGTAGAAGCTAAAGAACTTATGACACATGGACATGAACTAAAGGGGGGGGATGTGGGTGGGAGAGGGTGTACAGGGTGGAGGGGAGTGAAGGGGGAAAATGGGACAACTGTAATAGCATAATCGATGAAATGTATTAAAAAATAAAAGTTATTAAAATAAAATTGTTCATGTGTTATTAGTACATGTGGGCCAATTAGCTGATACATGATTTAGTGATATTGTGGTTAGAGTATGAATTTATGCAGCAGGCTGTCCTGTGTTCATTGTGAAATGTAGCATTAGTGGTACCCTGGCATTTTCAGCCTCAGTTGCACTTTCAAATCATAATGTTACCTAATAGCGTCATAAGCAAAGAACAACAGCAAGTAGATTATTTACAGAGAAATATCATCAAGGTAATATACATTGGCAAGCAACTCAATGGAATTAAAATTAACATGTACTTTTAAAAGCTATTAGTATTATGTATATATCACTTACATTCATAAGCAATGACAGATTTGGTTGTACTGATAATGTCTTTTTGTTTTAAAACTTAGAATCAAATAATTTGAGTATCATTTTACTATACAAGTAAAATTTCTCATTTATTTCTTATCATGAGTTACTAGAGTAATTACAGAATAGTTTTATTTCTCTTCTTTGTCAAAAGATGCAAATCCTACAAAAATGAAAACAAGTATTTTAAAACTCTAAGACAAACCAACAAAGTACAAATAAAAATGTACTAGTATCTGTAGCAACTCTCTGAATGGCCCCTTACCCATATATCTAGCAGGTGAAAAGTTTTGTTAGGTGAACGGTAACATACAAATGGCTTCTGAGATGATTATAAGCAAATGGGTGACACTGGTATGGGTTTAACATGTGTTTGCCAGCATGAGTTGATTCCAAAATTATTGCTGCTATGAAGAATTTGAGTTATGAGGAATAGATCTTATATATTTGTGTGTGGTTGGGTGATCAATAAAATGTTGTAGGTTGCAAGTCAGAGAGTTGGAACATTAATTCATTGTTCATAATTTTGAAAACTACAGAAAAATACTTTTAGAGAAAAATATCCTTTGCAATAGATTTTTTTTGAAGTGTGTGCATAATCTTTTCTAACAGCTTTAATACAGCTCAGGGGCTTACAACAAACCATTTATGGTTACT